CCAGACAGGGTCTCACTCTGTCACCCGGGCTGAAGTACAGTGGCATGATCTCAGCTCACTGCAACCTCCACCTCCCAGGTTCAAGCAATTCTCATGCCTCAGCCTCCCAAGTAGCTGGGATTACAAGCACCCGCCACCATACCCAGCTACTTTTTTTATATTTTTAGTAGAGATGGGGTTTTGCCATGTTGGCCAGGCTGGTCTCCAATCTTGACCTCAAGTGATCCATCCACCTCGGCCTCCCAAAGTGCTGGGATTATAGATGTGAGCCACTGTGCCCAGCCTGTACCTTCTTGACACTCTGGGCACTGCGGGGCTGTGAAATTCAACACTCACTTTCCAGGGATTATCTGCTTGATCTCTGGGGAGCATTTGGTCTTCTTGTCTCCTTGGCAGAGCCATCTCTCCTAGACTCTGCACCCTCTCCTGGTCATCACATCGTTGGCTCAGCTCCTGCTCCTTCCTGTACATGGATGGCTCCAAACATGATGGCTCTGACCCACTCCCCTGAAGCCTGCCCCTGGACATCTTCCCCTGGCTGCCCCTCAGGCACCTCAAGCTCATTGTCTCAGGGGCCCCCAAGAATGTCCTCCTGCTCATCAGGTGGGAGGGACCCTCTTTCAGACCAGACTCAGAGGAAAATGCCTTCTTCTTCATCGCTTTCCGACACTGACATGACTGGTCTTTACCAGAGAGTTCTAAAGCAGGCTGCATAGCCAGGGCCCCATTTCTCCTTCCTGTACCTTCCTCTCCCTGCTCTCCTCTTCCTTTTTCAGGTGTTCGGTGTACTTTTCCTTTTCCTATCAAGGCCTGTTTGTACAAGGTTTCTACCAGGATAACAGACAGCTCTTTTCTTAGTCCTTTTGGGCAGCTTTAATGAAATACCTTAAAGTGTGTCATTTATAAACAACAGAAATTTATTGCTTACAGTTTTGGAGGATGGGAAGGCCAAGGTCAAGGTGCCAGTGAGGCACCTTTGGAATCTGGTGAGAGCTCACCCTGTTTCATAGATGGCACCTTCTTGCTAAGTTGTCAAATGACCAAAGGGGCAGACAAGCTCTCTCAGGCCTCGTTTTCTTTTTCTTTCCCTTTTTTTTTTAAGATTGGGTCTCACTCTGTCACTCAGGCTGGAGTAGTAGTACAATTATGGCTCACTGCAGCCTCAACCTTCCCAGGCTCAAGCAATCATCCCACCTCAGCCTCTTCCCAAGTACCTGGGACTACAGGCATGTACCACCACACCCAGGTAATTTTTAAAAATTTTTGGTGGAGATGGGGTCTCACTGTGTTGCCCAGGCTGGTCTCCAACTCCTGGGCTCCAGCAGTCTTCCTGCCTCACCCTCCCAAAGTGCTGGGATTATAGGTGTGAGCCACTACACCCAGCCCTCAGGCCTCTTTATAGGGGTACTAGTCCCACTTGAGAGGTTTCCATTCTCATGACCTAGTTACCTCCTAAAGACTATACCTCTTAATACTATTGCATTGGGGATTTGCTTTCAACATATGAATTTTGGGGACACACAAACATTTGGGCCATGGCAACTCCTTTCCTCAGAAATCTTAGACGCAGATCACCTTTATCTGCTGCTCTAATTTTCCTGGAGATTCAGGATGGAGACATTTGGCACCAAATTCCCTAAAATTCCCTACAACCATCTCTCCTCTCATTTTCACACTCATGTTGACTATTTAATATGACTTCTTTCAGCTCCAGAAATTGTGAACTACGAACCCCTGGGTCTGGAGGCTGACATGTGGTAAGTTGGACAGGCCACCCAGGTGACCTAGGAATCTTTCCAAGGGCAGAAGGCCTCAGATCCTGCTCCAGGTGACATCCCCTTAACCATGAAAGCCCCTTACTCCACACTCACTGTTCAGAGCCTCTGGCTGCTCCCCCAATATGTTAGACCTGTGGCCAGGGCAGCTGGAGGCCTCTAGGCCTGGACCTGAGGCCAGTTAGCTCCTGGCCAGGTCAGAGCTTTATCAGGAATGGAGGAGCAAAAAGAGAGGCAAGGTGGAGGGTGCAGGCTCACCCCTGGGCCTGCCCCAGCCAGGTTAAATGTAATAGTAACAGTAGCTCACTCAGTCGGCCAACCAAGTGGTCACTGAAAGTCCATGCATTCTGGGCACTGTGCTGGGCCTGCGGATACTCCAGGGATTAGTTCTCTGCACAGATGGGACTCGTTTCATTTGGACCCTGCTTTACAGTTGGCCAAGCACCTTTGTTACCTGGTTTTCTAAAATCCTGCCAACAGTCCTGTGAGGTAGTTATCATTATCCTCATTTTATAAGGGGAAAAGGGCTCCCAGGTGGTAAGGGACTTACCTAAATCACACAGCCTGCAAGTGCAAGAGTCTGATCTTGAACTTGGGTCTTCAGACTCAGGATTCGGAGCTCGATGACTCCACACACATCCCGGGCTGCTGCTGAGGAGAGGGATGGAGAGGGGTGTGGAGCATGAGACGGCATCCAGGGTCTACTGTGGAGGGGGCAAGTGACCTCTTCCCCTGAGATCCATGAGGGTGTCCTTGCTCGTCGGGGATTGGACCCAGGCGGCCCTGACTTGACTGTTCTTTATTTTGCAGGAGCATAGGCGTCATCACCTACATCCTGTGAGTATCCCTGATCTAGGGGCTCTGGCTCAGCTTAGATCTGGGGGAACCAGAAGGAATGAGAGAGGGGCAGGCTGACAGACTGACATTTACTAAGCACCCACCATAATCCAGATGCGTTAAGTCCACACAGCAAGCCTGAGGCTAAGTGCAGTAGGTTCATTGTATCCATCTGACCCTGGCATTGAGGTTGAGTAGGCATCTACGGGAGCAGCCTTGGGCCCTCCACTCTGTACAGCCTGTGTCTGCATTTCTCCTGTAGAATGCCAGGGCTCCCCTGTTTAGCCTCCCCCAGACTGAGGTGTACGGGAGAACGTTACTTTTCACTCAGAACTCTTTTTTTTTTTTTTTTGAGACAGAGTCTTGCTCTGTCACCCAGACTGGAGTGCAGTGGCACGATCTTGGCTCACTGCAACCTCCCCTCCCGGGTTCAAGCAATTTTCCTGCCTCACCCTCCCAAGTAGCTGGGATTACAGGCACCCACCACCAAGCCTGGCTCATTTTGTATTTTTAGTAGAGACAGGGTTTCACCATGTTGGCCAGACTGGTCTTGAATTCCTGACCTTGTGGTCCACCTGCCTCAGCCTCCCAAAGTGCTGGGATTACAGGTGTGAGTCACTGCGCCCGGCCCCTTCACTCAGAACTCTTTGGACAGCCCTGTGAAGCTACTTATGCCCTCCCCAATCTTGCCTCTTCTTTCTTTCCTCATTTCCCCAGATCCCCTTTTCTTCCTCTCACTGTCTCTCTCCTCCTTTCTCCTTCCTCTTTGCCTGTATTCAGTTGCTTAGACAGAGATTTCCTGCATAGCTCCAGTGTGTAGTGAGTTACCTCTGGGGCTGGAGTCCCATGATACTATCACTTTCCATCTCTGTGACCTTGGGTAGGGACTTAACCTCTGGGCTTGTTTTTCTCATGAGAAAAACGAGAATCACAAACTTCCTGCCATGGGTGTGTTGTGAAAGCTAAATAAGTCAACATGTGCAAGTTTCCTAGCCCTGGCTCTGGCACATGCACAGTGGGCTAGTGACTATTCATTCCATCAGCCCTTCCCAACCATTTTCCCTTCATGGCACACATGGAAAATGCTATTTTTATAGCACACTGGAGTAAGAGTCAACCGGTTGGGGCAGGGGGCACCAGTGCTCAGCAGCTGAGGGGGTCATTCTCTCAATGATCCCTGTGAACCAGGTCTCTGACTCTCCCAGCAGCACTTGGAGTAGGAACCCTGTGTGACATGGTGGATCCCCCTGAGCTGCAGCAGAAGATCTCAACCCTGGCTGCACAGCAGAGCTTTTAATACCCACCATGGCCCAGGCCCCACCCCAGATCTATTATATCACAATTGCTGGGGATAGAGTCTTAGTATCTGTATCTTTTAAAACTCCAGCTGAATTTGATGCAAAGAGAAGGCTGAGAACCATCAATCTATAGTTTCAGATCAGAGCCAGAATAGTCTGACTCTGGCTCTTGAAACTTTGATTTCTTCAGGACTCTGATTTGAACTATGAAGGAATCCCATGTAATCCCAGCATTTTGGAAGGCTGAGGTGGGCAGATGCTTAAGTCCAGGAGTTCAAGATCAGGCTGGGCAACATGACAAAACCCTGTCTCTACAAAAAACAAAACAAAAAACTAGCGGGGTGTGCTGGCACACATCTACAGTCCCAGCTACTTGGGAGGCTGAGACAGGAGGATCGCTTGAGCCCAGAAGTTACAGTGAGTCGTAATCGCACAACTGCACTCCATCCTAGGCAGCAGAGCAAGATCCCGTCTCAAAAAAGAAGGAATCCCAGTGTCTGCTGAAGGCATAGTCTTCTTGTGGCTCGTTTGAATTTAACAGCTTTGTTGAGATCTGCTCCATGGCAGGCACCGTACCAGGCCCCAGGATGCGACATGAAGGAGGGTCTTCCCTGCTTGCTGGGGCTCCCTGTCTGTGGGAAACACATCATACACCTAACTCACACCCAGTGGAACCAAGGTTAGGCTGGAGGCATGAACACGCCTCTTTGAGACACAGATGGGAGCCACTGGTTTGCTGAAGGTTTATTGAGAGACAAATAGAGCACATGATTGATGGATCGATTTGAACTGGGATGTAGGGAATGAATGGGATGTGGGTGGAGAAGGAGGGAAGGGCTGTGCTGGCTGAGGAAACAGCGTGAGAAAAGGAATGGTAAACCTTAAGTTCGGCTGAAATGTACCAAGCATGGGGTAAGGACCAACGCTTGATGCCTTGCTCAGGAGTTTAGATGTGATCCTATAGAAGATGGAAGGTCATAGAGGGCTTTTGTGTTCTCACAATAACAATAATAATGGCCATTAATTCCAGAGCCCTTAATGTGGGCCAGGATTACATAAGGCTTTTGTATGCATTTATTCTTTACAACAATCATGTGAGGTGGGAATTTCATTTTCTTTATTTTACTGATGAGGAAACTACAGCTCAGAGGGGTTCTAGCTTCACACAGCTAATGAGTGGCTTCTCAAATTGCAATATCAAAATGTTTCCAGTGCATCTTGCTGCCACCATGCTAAGAACGTGGCTGTGGAAATGTGGATGACTTTCAAGAGATATTTAGTAAACGGAACCAACAAGGAAGCTTTTGTCCAGTCAGATGTGTCAAGGGAATAGAAAGAAGGGTCCAAGGTGACTCCTGTGCTTCTAGCTTGAGTACATTCATGAAGTAATGTCATTCATGAAGTAATGTCATTCATCAAGGGAATGCTTGGAATGGGTTTGGACACAATAAGTTTGGGACAATGGCACTTCTGATCCAGACACCCCTGGATCATGCCTCTACCAAGGCATCCCATGAGCAACTGAAATCTGAGTCAGGAGATAGTAGATTTAGAAGTCATTATTTGTATGACATCTTTGACAGTCCCTGCTGGGGAACCACACAGATCCTTCCTGTCCCTAATGGCCCATCTATTTCCAAACTTCTTGGGCTCTGCTTAAGTTGCTCCTGTAACCCAGAAGGGCTTTCTGTCTCCTTCTCTGACTGCTGACAACCTCTTTATTCTTCAAGACACAAACGATGCAAATATCCATGTCACCGTGAAGCCGCACTGGGCCTCCCTCTTTCCTGTGCTCCCCTGTCCTTTGGCTGGCCTTCCATTATATTCTGCTTTGTCCTGCTGGGGATCACAAAGAGATATGTCTCTGTGTTTCTCTCCCCTCCGCTTTCACATCCCTTGAAGACACAGTTTCTGTCGGGTGCTTAGGAGGAGCTCCGTGAACATGTATTGAATTGGATTCAGCTGAACGGGTTGCTGGTTGGCTGCCCAGAGCGGGCAGGCTGTGTTGCTGGGAGCCTTCCAGCTCCATGCAGCAGTCATGGGGCAGGGTTCCCCTAGTCCGTCATCCCCATTTCCACCTACTTTTCCCTTAGTTATGTGATTCCCTGTCTGTTGTACTCAGCCTAAGTGGAGCATCCCCTTTCCTGGGAGACACGAAGCAGGAAACACTGGCAAATATCACGGCAGTGAGTTACGACTTTGATGAGGAATTCTTCAGCCAGACGAGCGAGCTGGCCAAGGACTTCATTCGGAAGCTTCTGGTTAAAGAGACCCGGTAAGAGGACAGAGAAGCCACTGGTTTCTCAGGTACCGATCCCTTCCTGTCGCCTCTGGCAAAGACCTGTCAGTGTGTCCCTGCTTTGACATAGCTGTCATCTGCACCATTGTGGTCTAATCCGGGCAGGTGCTGGGAAGTGTGGCCTAGCCAAGGTGTGGCATTCGTCTTGTTTGCTCAAGTCTTTCTGCTTTCTTCTCCTGTTGAAATGTAAATAACGTGTGTGTGTGTGTGTGTGTGTGTGTGTGTGTGTGTGTGTGCTGGAAGTCAGCCTGGGTTTCTTTAGGGCTCATTACCTTGTGCAGTCTGTCCCAAAGGCACCTGGAATTCAGATTTGAAAAGGTTAAGTGGCAGGGTTTTCAAGCCAGTTCAGGTTGGGAGTAGGAGCTAGTAGGCTCGGAGAGGTCAGTACAGTGCGGCGGTGGAAGACATGCTAACCCTATCCCTTCTCCAGGGGCCAGGGTGAGCCCCGTGGCTGTGGGGTCAAAGAATGAAATAGGCAGGGATTGCAGGGTGCTGGGTACCCGGAGCATGCCCTGGATGGAGCAGGAAGAAAGGTCCACAGACGAGAATACCATGTCCTCTCTATCCCACAGACTTCAGAGAGGGCCAGAGTGGGGTTGTCTGGAGTGCAACGGCCCTGATTTTCCTGTCTAAGAGCAGTGCTAGGGAGAGTCGCTTACCTGGGTACAGAGCAGCAAAAGGCAGAGAACGGATCCAGGAGGCAAACAGAAAAACAGAGACCAGGGATTTAGCAATGGAGGGTTGGCTTTTGGAAGATTATGGAAGCTCATTAGAGCATTTATGACTTCTTAGGCCATTCAGCTTTGGGACTAACAGTATGGGTTTAGGTAACAAGGCCACCCTATTGAGGGGTTTGCCTGGACTGCTTCCTTCCCCTGGAGTGCAGAATTTGCGGCCAGTTCCCATCCATCTCTGCATCCTCCATTCCACTGGTTTGACAGCAGCGGCCAAATAATACCAAAATATAGGTCTAAAAAGAGTGAGAACGGAGATGGTTGCTCCCAACTTCTGTCCTCATGGATCATCACTGTTTCCCAATCCTCATTGCAGGAAACGGCTCACAATCCAAGAGGCTCTCAGACACCCCTGGATCACGGTAAGGGCACAGCCATGAGTTCCAATGGGCAAAGGGTCCCTGCTCTGTCGCCAGTGTTGGCCTAGGCAGCCAGATGCAGAGGGCCTGTAGAGAGGCCTTTGCTTGAAACGCTGACCCTGGGCACAGATGAAAGCTAGCCAGGGGCCCCAAAGGGCCTGGGCTTGTTCGAATAAGTTTATTTGCTTGCCATTTTAAGTTTGTGTGTCTCAAATTCAGGTAACTTATGAAATGAAACTCTCACAAACCTCAGTTGAAACCCTTTTTCTTTGGGGCCAACTTACACAGTGTTCTTTGTTGGAGGGTGTGTCACTGCCACTTCTCCAAGTGGAAATCAGGACTCCCCAGGTATAGAGAGATCAATGACCATTGAAAACCCCAACTTTGTGACCAGCCCTCCTTCCTTCTGATTTTTGGGGCTTTGAGTCAAGGATGACACTTAAATCAGCCACCCACTTCCTCAGGCCCTGAGGGATGGGGCCCGAGACAGAGGCCTGGTGGGGAAGAGAGACAGCCACTGTCAGGGCAATTCTGTTCCCTCTGGGGAGAGTTGGGGCAAAAAGATGAATCCCTGCCTAACTCGCCTTGCAGTTGGGCTTCCGGCTGCTGGCTTTCCAGAGGCTGTTGTGGTCTGGTGTAGTGAAGAGCACTTTGAGAGGGTGAGACTCAGCAGGATTCAGGCCCTAATTCTGCTGACTGGCTGGCTGTGCACACCCAGGGACATCACCAGACTTCCCATTCACCTTAACTGTTACATGAGAAGGTCAGCAAGGATGAAATGACCATAAGAAAGGTGGAGATAAAGAGAGGGGGAGGCAGGCCAGGCGCAGTGGCTCATGCCTATAATCCCAGCACTTTAGGAGGCAGAGGCAGCAGAAGGATGGCGTGAGCCCCGGGGTTGAAGACCAACTTGAGCAACATGCCAAGACCCCATCTCTCTAAAAAATAATAATCAATCAATCAATACAAAGAGAAGGTGAGGCCTGTGGAAGACAGAACAGGAAGGGCTGGAGTAGTCTGAGAGGAGGTCGGCTTCATCTGCTCAGCTTCATCTGCTCATTGAAGGATGGGGAAGGCCCAAAGAGCCCTGAAGGAGAGATGCTCCTCAGCCCCGCTGTGTGAGCCCTGGCCTCACGCACTGCAGCCCTGCGCAGATGCCTGTGGAGTCCTGGCTGCATCCTGCTTGTCTGCGTGAGCACCCCTTAAATGCTATGCGTGTGGAGCTCTCTGTAATGACTGTGGACCCCTCTGCCCTGAATGAGCATGCAGGCAGCAGCCCCACACTCCTTGACCTCACTTACGGTCTGTGGGGCTGCTTATCCCGCCGTGGTTCTCCCCGCCCTGATGCATGCAGTGAATGCCAGAGGCCGCTTGTGTGTGCCTTCTGCCTGCCCCTCGAACTGCCCTCTGGGGCGGGTGGCAAATTAACACTCTGGTTCTTCTGTCTGAACACCCACCAGTCAAAAGGAGAAGTCAGAGCCCCCGAAGAGCGGAAGACAGAGCCCACCCAGCTGAAAACCAAGCGCTTGAGAGAGTACACTCTCAAATGCCACTCAAGCATGCCTCGCAACAACTCCTACGTCAACTTTGAACGTTTTGCCTGTGTGGTGGAAGACGTGGCTCGGGTGGACCTGGGATTCCATGCCCTGGTGGAGGCCAACGATACCATCCAGGATGATGTGGAGGCCCTGGTCTCCATCTTCAATGAGAAGGAAGCTTGGTACCGAGAGGAGAACGAGAGCACCCGGCACGACCTGTCCCAGCTCAGGTATGAGTTCCGCAAGGTAGAGTCATTGAAGAAGCTGCTGCGAGAAGACATCCAGGCCACGGGATCTAGCCTCGGAAGCGTGGCCAGGAAACTGGACCATCTGCAAACCCAGTTTGAGATTCTGAGGCAGGAGTTCTCCGCAGACCTGCAGTGGATCCAGGAGCTGGTGGGCAGCTTCCAGCTGGAGAGTGGGAGCTCCGAGGGCCTGGGCTCTGCATTTCGCCAGGACACCAGTGAACCCCTGTCAGAGCTGCTCAGCAGATCATGCACTGAGGAAGTTCTGGCCGGCTGGAAGCTCTGATCACCAGAATCTAGTCAGTGATGCATTCCAAGAGGTTTGCAGAAGCATGTTCTCATCCATCCTGCTGCGGCATCCAGCTAGAATTATCCTGCTGGGGTGTGTGTCTGTAGTATAGCCTTCCACCCTCTCCACAGAATCCAGAATCGCTGAGGTGCCAGTTCATTCTTTGTTCTGCACCTCCCCTCACCAATCTGGTTTTCTGGGAGGGTGGTGGCAGGGCAGCCAAGCTGTTAAAACAATTAGAGAGTGAATACCCCTTAGGGTCCCCTTCTCCAGAGGGAGGATGGCTGGCCCTGGAGAGATGCTTGAGAATTGATTTGTGATGAAGGATTTGTTCACATCTCACTCTCTGCCTACATACCTTATGGACAGTAGATCTTGGGTAATATTTGAGTTAATTCGGAATAACTAAGTCAGCATGGTGCTTTCCTGCTACAGAAGCAGGGATTTAAAATGCATAGAGAAAATAATATTGCCTTTCGTTTGCATTGATTTTTCACTTACCGTGCACTTATGTCTGACAAATGACCTCACTTGATCCTTAAAAGAACTCAGTGAGATAGGAAGGTGGGTGGCATTATTATTATTATTATTATTATTATTATTATTATTATTATTATTTCCATGTAACTGATGAGAAAATTGACTCAGAGAGGGAAAATGATATAGTTAATCAATACAGATGAAACAGAAACCCAGGATTCCCATCTCTAAGATGAGGTATATGGGAGAAAGTAGTAAGGCTTTGCTGTAAATAGCTACCTTAATATTAAAGTCCAGGTCCCAGAGGCAAAGTAAGCAACTTCATGCATTCTGCCAGGTGTAGGTGCAATGCATACACCTGCAGATGATTGTCCCAGGAGCTCTGTCCCAGAAGGTACAGTCATTGTCCCTGCTCAGCCGTGTCTCTGTCTGAAGACCAGTCTGCAAGCAGGAGAGAAGGAAAGAAGGAGTCTTCCCATTCCCCACCCTTTTCCCTCTTCTGGCTAATGGCCCCAATTTTGTGTCAAGAATAAAGACCAGAAGGTCCTCAACAGGAGGTTCCTTTTCTCACATACCTAGGCCATTGGGCCTTGAAGGCCTAAGAAATTCCATGAGGGTTTTTGAAAAGGGCGAATGTAAAGATGAGGAAGCACAAGGCCACATGGTCCTTTCATGACCCAAAGCTTTGGGCACCCCTCCCCAAGGATGATAAGATCTCATCTCCCTTTCTCTGGGGAAGGGGACAGTCAACCAACTCATATCAACAGAGCTTGGCATAGGAGCCCATTGCTGAGCTAGAAGCTTGTGGGTGGGGCATAACTTGTATAGTTCAAAGTGTCTTCACAGCCTCACAAAATATCCCTATCTTACAGGCAGACTAAATGATATTCCCAATTTAGAGATGAGGAAACAGACAGAGGATGGGATTTTCCCAAGGTCACATCATTATGGCAAAAGTAGAGGCCTTCTGATGATAAGTCTGTTGCTCTTTCTGCTTCCCCTGGCTGCGCCAGGCTCCAGAGGTTTACTGCCTGCTTGTGGGGGCAGCTCACACCTGGATTCATCCATCCATTTACAAATTATACTTAGGCATCAACCAACTGCCAGTTGCCTGACTTGACTCTGGGGATACAATGTTGAGTAAAAACAGGCCTGATTCCTGCCTCACGGAGTGCTCAGTCCAGCGAAGGATTTGAACATTGATCAAGAATCACAGAAAGGTAGAGCTGCAGCTTGTGTTTATGCTGGGAGAGAAGCACGTAGTGCTGCAGGGGCCTGCCGTCGGGGTCTGACAGCGTCGGGGGAAGCGTCCTGAAGAGTGACACTGGAACGGAGATCAGCTAAGCCAACCAGGGAGAGAGAAGTTTCCCAACAGAGCCACCATGCCAGGGCTCTGTGATGAGAGGTGATGTGGAAGGTTGAGAATGCGAGGATTGAAAGCTGGAGGGGAGAGAATGGAATATAGTGTGGAAATGACCAGAGAACAGGCAGGACCAGCAGGGCTTTGGCCATGTAGAAGAACTCTGCCTTTATCCCGAAAGTCAAGGGAAGCCAGCAGGTTCCCGGTGCTGGGGAGGGAATGCCTCATGAACAGCTCAGATAGGAAGTGGTTTAGGACAAGACAGGAAAGTTTCATCTCATGAAACCATTTCTTCAAAATCCTATCTCCTTTTCTATTCACATGAAGGATCATTTCAAATAACATATACAATATTTGTAATAAAAACTTTCTTCATCACTTACAAGAAACCATGGTGATAAGATGCATCATCATTTTATGGACCACTAAGAAAAGAAGCCTAAGATGGGGAGTCTAATAGGAACCTCCCTCTACCCCCACCAAATAAAGCTGTGATGCCCTCAGTGAGAGGGTAAATGAGAAAGGGGGAGCAAGGAAACCCGTGTGTCTCAACCTTGACACTGAGTGGGGGTGAAAAATCCTCCCCTGAGAACAGGAGTCCCAAGCCGGTGGTACTCATGCAGGTTTGCTTTCTGAATTTGTACAATCAGTGTGATCTAAAAGAACATCAAGCAGAGAATGTAACGTCCAACAGTCTGAGGCTGGGTGGCCCTGGACGGCTAGCAGAAACAGTGCTGTCCTCTTCCGGAGCACCTGCCTTCTCTCCAGGCCAACAGTAAGAATATGATACCATCGTCTGGGAGATGCCTCTTGACTTCAGAGATCCAAAAATGTACATCTTGGAACCAATGAAAGATGACAAAAGCTCCGTTTCCTACATCCCACCCAAGAGAATTGGTTCAAATGACCTGTCTACAGTCTCTGCAAGGTCTTACCTGCCCTGTCACAGGAAGTTGTATACATGTTTGGTGCTGAGACACTGCAAATATTAAATGTCCCTTTGGTCATGTTAACAGAACTTTACCTTCACACAGCCAGGTTTCTAAGGAGAGGAAGCCACTGATGGGGCAACACAGGGCAAGCTCTTTGGT